AAATAACTGTTCATTTTTATATACTACAAACCTGGTCATGTTTAGAGGAACGTCATACAAGTCTCAACAGGGTTACCACTGTCGGGGCGTCAACGCATCTGGCCAGGTCCACCGCATTGCGCACATTCAGAGCACCTGACATTAAATGCGCTTTGAGTGGGCGGAATCAGTAAAGAACACATGTAAGTGCTGCCGCAGAGACTGAGACATTGCCAAATTTAGACATAAATCTTGCGGTGCGGGCCATCCGCGCTCGCGGGCCGCGAGCCGGCATGATCGAAGGGATACGACATTTCTTTCCTTACACCTGGAGTCTTCGGCTCCAGGAATACCGTCGTCGGGTGGCTCGAGAGTCGAGACTTTCACGACAGCTACGGGGCTCTGGGCTCTACAACAATGGGTTCGTGGAGAGTACGACGGATGCTATGGATTCACCGACGCTGGCAATCACAGCCGCTGGATCCGTTAATAAAGCCCCTTACAGTCTTTAGTTAGCCTCACACAGGTTGGTAATTCAAGCTCCAATCAAGCTCAGCACTGGGGCGGCCTACCTTGTCCCAGCGCTGAACTTGAATCAGCATATGAACTACAGAATCGTGAAACGACAAATGATCTACCTTGACACAATAGCTAGTCGCCCCTCAGTGAGCCTCTCGACAATCAATCAAAGGGAGCGTCGTAACGTTGGGGCATGTGGGAAATGGCGCGCAGAGCCTGACGCGGGTTGGCGACACCCCGCTACGCTTACGTTCGGACCACCATCTTGACATCTCTCACAAGCCTCCTTACCTTGGATAACGGAAGGAATGGAAGAATCATACCCCTTCCACGTTGTTTCAGTACTCCGTAGCTCAGACCCCGAGCGAACTCAGAGTCTCAGGAGAACTTTTGCTCGAATAGTCGATCCCCACGAGGACGCCGAATACGTTCGGCAGTGGACAGTATGTATCTCGTACAAACCCTAGACTCGTGTCATCGCCATGTCTCATTTGGATTCTTGACTTCGTCAGTCGGCCATACACCATCAGATATCTGCTGATGTCGGAAACTCACTGGAAGGCGACCCCAACAGCACCAGTTTCAATGCGTTTGCTCGCTCGGCTCTTAACGCTGGTTTAGTGCCCACGATGATGAAGATTGCTCGACAGGAATGGCGGGGAAGGAATGTTCCAAGGGCAAGGCACATCTCCCAGTACAGGGCTCTGCAAGGTCTCTGTATCTTGATGCGGGTTGGGAACGAGACAGAGCGTCGGGATATGCTCGACGATATGCTGAAAGAAGACGTTTTGAGTGTATGCATTCAAGTACGTGCTGTCATCTCTTGTCATGCTGTAAAACTAGAAGAATCTGTCGCGATGCATGCATCTAGTTCATGAAACATCATCTCTGCGTCATGCGTCAACTTGCCGTCAACGCGCTGCACTCGCTTTGCCAAGTGTCTTTGGGCAAAAAGGTCTCGTCTTCCACCGCTGCCGCTATCATCGAGAGCGCATGTTTGTATGTCCTCCAAGGACCAGATCATGTCGTCGATCAGCTTCTCAGCCCCTTCACTGCTTGGCAAGGGATAATGTTCTCAGAGACAGAACAGGTCAGATCCTTACTCTGACCGTCATCAAATTGTACTCATCCTCTGCAGCGGCTGATAGATGTCCGGGTAACCAGGCAAACTGCACCCAGATACTATGCGGTGGTACAGGATGCCGCCGTACAAGTCGTTCATAGCCTCCTTTTCACCTCTCCGCCTCGATCATCCGAATTCTGCTACGACATCATGAAACAGAGACCTCAGATACTAGACCTTCTCCTCGACTGCGCAATCTCCGACCGACCAACGTGTTTTCCTGAATCCGGCGTCACATCGGTTGCATGCGAATCGCTGACTCTGCTGTTCCGATGGCCAAGTCACACCGTACCTGGAGTAGCTTCCCCGATCGACAAGGCGTTCAAAACACGGGACTGGAAAGCAATGTCTCAGGCCATGTCCGTTCTCACGTCGCGGCCGAATTGGGCCGAGTCTCTAATCGAGGTGTGGATGCGCTTAGAAGAGGAAGATGTGTCTGCTATAAAAAGGTTTGGTGTCCAGCTGATCTACCGAGCATACCTACACCATGGATCCTTTGCAGAAAGTTCTCGCGACAAAACGAGATGGACTGGGACCGCGTCGAGGGCACAGAGAAGCAAGCGTACGGCAAACTAATAAAAAATAGAGGTCCGTGCCGCATTCCTGATTATGAAGTGCCTTCGTTGGACTACTAAAACTCTTCAACTCCTGTATAGGCATCTGTCGAGTATCTGTACTTCGACTAATCGCCACCCTTACACACGCGGCGGCGTCTTGCGGCATCACAAATGCACAAATCGAGTCATTTCTCCACGTCGCATATCTCGGTTGCCAAAAAGGCGGAAAGTACCTCGAAGACTGCAAGACCGAAGAGGAGTTCATAAATTCCTGCGACTACGAACAGGACGTGTTTCGATCCTCCGTCGCGGAATACGCGGGGCCAGATCTACCTACTGAGCCCATCAAGAGCCCCGTAGTGATCGCATCTCAGCGCGTTTTGGGTCCTACCACCCTCGTCCGCTTGCTGACCGTCCTCGCTCAGAGGAATGCCATTGACCTCATACAGACATTCCGCAAGCCACCCACTGGGCTCTCCTCATCGACATCGCTGGAGCGCATCCAGCAGATTACTCATCCGGTTGTTATACGCCGCATCATTAGACTTTCACATGTGCGCATGGCCGAGAGGATGGACAGAGGTCGCATACGCGCGAGAGACAGAAGTGTGCCAGACGAGACCAGCTTTGCATGTGCGATTTTCATGAGCGTCGCCGAGCTTGCGGCGGCCTTGGTCGCCCTGGACGAGCATACGTACGGGGTTTACTCAGCTGAAGTCCGTGGGGCGCGCAAACAACTCGTGATTGCACTGGGCAACGCATCACAGATGGCTTATAACATCGGGCATTACAAACGAGCGTTACATTTTGCGTCTGATGCAGTCGCTGCAGCAGAGAATATCCCAGCCGAAGAGGGGTTGGATCCTAATGTGGGTGTCAAAAACAAGGGCCGTATCGCCCAAGCCAATGCTGCCCTCCAGCGCCACCGTCAGCTATAATAGCAAACGATTGTAGCCTAACATGTATTTGAAACGGAGAGGGTCCGAGTCTCAAGAGAAGACCAAGCTTTATAACGAAGTTTTTCGCCTGGCTAATAGCTGATGAACCAGTGGGTATTGGTGATGTTGACGACGTTTCAGGCGAGGAACAAAATAGCCGTCTACCGCTAAAATAGTCTGATGTAGTCACTCGCTGACCGAGTGGCACTCTCTGATGATAAGCTGAAATTTACCTCATCGCAAGGTAAACCTCTACTCGCGGGTGTGTGGTGAGCAAAGCAAGCTGGACGGCGAAACTTGGGCGAAACTCGGCGCCAAGAAGCTGACGCGTCCCGGCAACACCCGTCCGATCGGAGCGGCATCCGCGCGTAACTAATCTCGCCTATCACCATCATTGGCTCTTTGTCGCGTTCTCTTCACAACGCCATGGGCGAAGATTTCACTTCGTGGACTTTACAGTCAGCTTTGGACAACACTGGACCTCAGCAATCAGGTTCTCTCAAGGACCAGTTTGCGCGTCTCGTAGACCCTAATGAAGATCCGGCTTTTGTGAAGGAGTACACGGTACGTCGTCTCAAGCCCTGTGATCTGCAGTGCTACCTAACAAGCTCTAACAAGTCCATCAGAACGCAATAAACACTCAGCTATTGAAGGAACATTCAGATCAGAACGCGACTCAGCCTGGGTTTACCAAGTTTACTACCGCGTGCATCGGTGTTGGCGTGGTGTCCTCGATGGTGGCAATCATCCGTCAGGAATGGTCTGGCCCACGTGTACCCAAGGAAAGATACATGGCTCAATGCAATGCACAAGAAATCCTTTGCAACCTGATACCACAAGAAATCCTTTGCAACCTGATACGCATTGGAAACGATGCAGACCGTCATGCTATCCTCGACAAGCTACTACAAGAGAACATCGTAGACATTTGCTTACGGGTATGGATTGTCGTCTGATGGGATTTGTACTCTCGCGTTCTCATTTCCCCGAGTCATGTAGCGCATGCAGCACCCACTATGCATAGTGCAGCAGAGTGCCGTGAACACGCTGGCTGTCCTGTCGTCGAGCGCTGCGCTTGGGAAAAAGGTCACTGCGTCTACTGCAGCCGACATTACCGAAGCTGCCTGTGTCTACGCTCTTCGAGGTCAAGATTACTACGTCAAGCAGATCCTTGATCCTTCGACTACATGGCAAAGCTTCATATTCACCCATACAGATAACGTACGTTGATAAGCCAACCTGGAGCCCAAAGCTAAATATCACATGCAGATGCCTTCGAGGCTTTCCAGCAAGTATTCTGCGAGGTATCATGCCATAACCCAAGATTCCGCCATGGCCACCGTCGACGGCATCCTCGGCCTGTTTCCTCCCCATGAATCCCAGTTCTACCTCGACATGCTCAAGAAAAAGCCGCAGATCATGGATCTCCTCCTCGATTGTGCAGCTCTCCCTCGTCCAGCTCAGCACCCAGAGAACCAGGTTGCGTCTAGAGCGTGCACGGCGCTTTGCTCGATGTTGGATTATCCAAGCCAGATAGTACCTGGATCCACATTGCCGCTGGACCGCAATTTCAAAACGGGCCCGGACTGGAAGGCGATGTCACAAATAATGGTTATCATGACGTCTCGTCCGGACTGGGCAGAAAAACTCGTCGACGTGTGGATGCAGATTCACGAAGAAGACATGCGGCAAGTAGAGAGGTAAGTATCTGTGATCATATTCACTGTGCGACAAGTTTATATCCCTGTGCAGAAATTTAGAAAAGGTCACGAGTGATTCCGGAACACTGGATCCCCCACATAGCAGATCCCTTGGTGAAATCTACGAGAGGCGCGGTGAGTTACAGCCCGAAACGGACAGTCGAATCTTCGGTCGCTGAAGCTGACGCTGTATGTAGGTTGTTGCCGTATTTCCGTGCTGCGGTTACTCGCAACACTCACCCATGCAGCAGAGTCATGCGGTATCACCAACGCCCAGCTCGAATCCTTCCTCCACATAGCCTACCTCGGGTGTCGCAAGTTTAAAGGAATGCAAGACCCCGATCTCGCCAGGGACGAGACGTACCCCAGCATCGAGAACAACTTCGAGCGCTTCAACATCCCCTCCCTGCGGGACCTCGGGCCCATGCCGACCGACAACCCTCAGTTCACCGCCAGCCAATCCGTGCTCGGCCCCGTTGCACTCATCCGGCTCCTGTGCGTCCTCGCAGAGCGGAAGGCGCTCGACGGCATCCAAGCGCTGCGCAAAGCGCCCGCCGGGCTCTCGTCGTCGACGTCGCTCGGCCACGTTCAGCAGATCACGAATCCCGATATCATCTGCCGCGTCATCAGCATGGCGCACGCGCGCATAGCCGCGCAGACGGAGCGCGGGCTCAAGCTCGTGCGGGAGAAGGAGAGCGAGCGGGACTATGTGTCCGCGTGGATGATGTTCAGGAGCGCGGCGGAGCTCGCGGGCGCGCTGATGGCGCTCGACAGGCACATGGAGGGGCGGTACGCGGCTGAGGCGCGCGGCGCGCGGAGGCGGTATGTTATGGCGATGGGGAACGCCGCACAGATGACGCTCAACCTCGGGTATTGGGGGCACGCGATGTTCACCACGATGAATGCGGTTGACGCGGCCGAGGATATCGATCCTATGGAAGGGTTGGATCCCGCGATTATCAAGAAGAACGAACGGCGGCTTTTGCAAGCGAATGCCGCGAATACTGCACATCGCTCAAGTGGGCACTCATAGATTGTAGTTGCAGAAGTTCACCAAGGTGCTGGCAGAGTAGCATGGAGAGACAGATTTCTTCAGAGTAGCATGGCGTATGGGTAACCAGACATAAATCATTCGCTGTTGATTATTCGCACAGCCGATGTCCCTTCAATCAACGGTATATTACCGAGGAGTATATGTACTTGCTATTGAACGTGGAATCAACCGAACGCTGACATCCACAGGGAACTACTGGAGCAGGACACATATACGAAAACTGGGCTAGGAGCTATACTTCTTGGATGTACGAAGATACAGTATTTGGTACGCGGAAGCAGCTCACCCATTTTCTTGTAAACACTTTGCAGATTCACTTAATCTTGGACATCACCAACGAGCATTGCACTCTGCAGGAAGTGCTATCGGCCCTCGAGGCTGCAGGTATTAATTTGTCTGAGGAAGGGACGGGAGGAAAGGTTGGATACGGAGATAGCAGCGAAGAACAGGCGTCGGATCAGGCAAGTACCAAAAACTAAAAAGCAGATGCATTGGGGTAATAAGTACATGAATCATTGAGGACTAAACGTTGGTTCATCAATAAGAAGAAGCAACTAAGAAAGAAACTGAGCGGAGCGAGTGGGTATAAGTGAATCGATATACGTCGGTGTCAAACAAAACCATGAGATCATGCGCACTCTAGCAAACCCCGAGCGCGTTCTGGTAAATTAGCTAAAAGCCTGATATACTAAATGAAGTACATTCGTTCCGCACAGATCGGCGAGGTCGTGATGGTCATCGAGTTGCCCCCTCAAAGGCGTGCCGCCGACTGGTACATGCGGGTATATGCCACACATGGGCGTGTTGTACGTGGGCGGGGATCTAGACAAAGTCGGCGTTTTGGAGATTTTCGCGCAAGATTGAATCTCGGACTATTCACAAGGCGCTGTGATGAGTCCAAGTAAAGATATGTGGGTGAGGGCACGTACCCGTATTGAGCGTGATCGTAGTCTCTTCCGCATCCTAGAAGAGAGGTTAACGGTATTAGGGGGCTATGGCAAAAGACTCACAACAACGGAAGTAGGATATATGTAGAGCGTCCGGCGTTCAGGCGAATTTTGCTTCATCGTATCCTTGAACTTTTGCTTAAGATCTGCGCACAAATGTCATTCAGCAAACATCACATACAGAAGCCGCGACTACGCACACTTGATGACAGCATCCGTCGTATTCGGCCTATCCCCAAACGACGGCAAAAAGCGCTTCACCTTGGCCCCGTTCGCGATCTTGGCCTCGAGTAGATCGCACTTGTTGAGAAAGAGGACGAGGGTGGTGTTGGCGAGGAGCTTGGACTTGCAGATGCCACCCCAAAGGACGAAGGAGTCCTCGAGCTTGTTGAAGCGGATGTCCTCCTCGAGGCGCTCGTCGAAGCACGAGACAGGGGCGAGAAAGATGATGGCGTGTACGCCTTCGAAGAAGGGTTGCCAGGCGCTGCGCTGGTGAGGCGGGGAGGTGGGTAAGCAAAGGTGAGAATAGATCGGGTTTTGATATGTAAGCTGACCTGCGTACGCGCGCCGCCAACGTCGTAAAGCAGCCAGCTGTAGCCATCTGCAGGCGGTAATGGGTTAGGGTCTACGATATTATTCGTTGGAAGGGACTCACCCTCGGAGGTCATATGGTACTCTTGCACGCCCATGGTGCGTAACCGTGCCCTCAAGACGTCCTCGTCCGAGGGCTCATAACCTCGCGTGACGATACGGTCCGCGTTGGAGATGAAGCTGGAAAAAGGGACGAACTATGGTGAGCACGATGTTCAAATGACAGAGGGAGAAAACGAAAAGAAAAAAGGACTAACTAGTCAGCCGAGTCCTCGAACTTGACCTCGCGCCTGGTCAAAATCTCCCACACCGCCTCGTCCTTCCAGAGCGTCTTCATATCGTCCTTGCACCCAACCAGCACCTCGGTCGCGCTGTCCGTCTCGTGCGCCTCGGTCGCAGTACCTGCTCCAGGCTGGCCACCCCGCAGATTACCGCGCGAGGCTCTGTTGCCCTGCCCGAAGCGAGCGCTGGCGCCCGGGACCTGGAGTGTATCGCGCCAGTTGCCCGAGCGGACGTAGAACTCTGCGCGATCTCGGGTGCTCAGGTAAGACAGGGGCGTGCTCGGGGAACGCTCTTGTGCCTCGGATGGCCCCAGCATCTTCTTGAGATCGTCTTCGACGCCGCGGAGGGGCCCGAGCCTGCGCCTGAGGAGCTGAAGCTTGTCGGTGGTGGGGCTGGCCTGGCTGCGGAGGGAGTCTTTGGAGGTGTGTGAGTCGTCGGAGCGGGAGCGGACGGATCGGGTGGGGGTCGGGGGCGGGTTCTCGAGGAATTCATCTGCGAGAGTGTCGAGGATGGTGTTGATGGCGCGGACGATGTTCAGCTGGATGACAGTGCGCCATGCGAGACGCTCCTTTTCCCATTGGTCGCGAGCAAACAGGCGGCGGAAGTCTGGGGGTGGTGAGCTGGATGTGAGCCAAGGGGGAAAAGAGAACACACTTTTGAGAGTTGTGGATTTGCCTGTAAGGGAGAGAAGGTCAGCACAAACGCCGGAGATGAAAATAGACGACTGGCGGTTGGCCGCGAAAGCAGGACCGACGGAGTGGGAGAGCGAAAATAGAAGCAGAGCACGGAGAAGCATTCCTCCAGGCACTCGGGCAATCCGTCGCCAGACTACATAAAGACAAACACTCACCACTTTCGCTCTGACCAAGAAGCAGAATCTTGAGCGCCTTCTCCCGCTGCCGCATCGCCGACCCTTCCTCTCTCAGCGCCTCGTCGATCATCTCGCTGATCCGCTGCGCCTCCGCCTCCTGCTGCTCCCGTACCGCCCGCTCCTCCGCCGTCTCGTTCTTTGGCGGCGCCGCGGCGAGTGCCAACGGGTCAGCCCCGTCGTAGCTGCTTCTGAACATTCTTGTCTTTCTTCTTGCTGTCGTCTTGCTGGAGCTCAGGGACCGTGGTGGCTGGCGAGAAGCTCGTCGAGGACGTCCTTGCTGCTTATCTTGCCTGAATACAACGTCTTATCGCCCTGCAGGTGTACGCGCGTCCCCTCCTAGTCTGCAATGCCCGAACCTCGCGGAATGAGCTCTTGCCTATCGACCCGGCCGGAGCAGAGGAAGCCAACAGGCTCAAGGATGACGCGCAAAGAAGAAGGGGAGAGAGGATAAAGTAACCGACGTTGCAAAAAACGCGTGTTGAATGTTCGTACCCAGTTGACACCACTATGTAAACCTGTGTCTGGGTCTTGATCATATGAATGATCGACGGGTCCGCGACCCTGTCACTGGGAGCCTCGTCGTCAACGCTGCGACGGCGCGTCTAAGGGGCGGGTGATCAGCCAGGTGAAAGCCACCGCTAGCTCCTAGGGCTTGTGGTTCAGTCCTACACTCGCGCAGAGAGAACGACAGCCAGTATGCACCAAGTCGACGTGCGGCGTACCTTTCTCCCCGCCATATCATATCAGCGACAATCACCGACCTCCTTTTTGAGTCCTGACCGCAGCTCCTGACGTTGACCACCACATCACTGTCATCCGCCACCCCTCCGGCACCGTCGTCACCAAATGGGGTTACATAGCCCGCCTTGGGGCACCGAGGGACACGGATAAGACACCGACGACATCCGGAGTGGATTGGCAACTGTCAGACCAGAGGTACACACTAGAAAGAGGCGGAAATCACGGGTATCATACCCCGTAAACGGGAAAAAGAGGCTACTGTAGAGAGAAACACAAAATATAGTGGTAAGACCCAGAGATACAGGGTTATAAGAGTGCGATTAGGCTGATATGCGCGTCCGAACAAACGGATTAAGGATGAGATGAGGATGATCGAGTGAAGGCGCCATATCGTCGCCGACAGACGGTCGCCTCACAGGAGTGAGTCCAGTTTTGACAACACCTCGAGCACACCAGCGACCAGCTCGAACCCGACGTCCTCCTCGCCCTGCATTTCTCTTCTGACCTCCTGCAACAAGCCCAACACGCTCTCTCGCCCGCTCGCGCTGCTCCCCATCCCGATCCGCGAGCTCTCCCTCCGTCTCGGCGCCCCCGAGCCCATACTGCCACCACCGGTCGATGACGATGACGAGGAGGCGCTCCCAAACGGCCACACTGCAAACTCGCCAAGAATCTCGTCGCACCGCTGGAACGCCGCCTCCCTGTCCTCGTACGTGAGCCGCCCAAACGCATTATCAAGCACGCTCGCCGCGTACGCCGCGCACACCAAACACACCGCCCTTGTCGCGCGGTTCTGCACGCCCTCCTTGTCGAGCGCTTGCGGCGGGATGCTCGACGTCGTCGCGGTGAGCAACGCGACCGCACGCGCGACGACGGACTCTTTCGTGCGCACGTCCGCGACGGGGTGCGTCGCCATGTCGAAGAGCAGAAAGTTGCGCTTCTCGGTGCGCAGCACGCCCTTGTCGACGAGGCCCTTTGCGAGGCGCTCGCGCACCTGCTTCAGCTGGAATCCGATCTTCATCACGTTCCACGTCTCGCCTAGTCATCGCATCTGTAAGGACAAGCAGAGGAGGGAAAGGGGGGAGGAGGGGACGCACCGCTGAGGAGGTCGATCCACGCGTTGATGCTCATCCGCTCGCCCTCCTGCGACTTCATCATCTTGAGCGTCTCGTCGAGGATCGTCTCGCCCGTCTGCCGGTCGTCGATCACCTCCACGACGCGGTCCGCGAGCGGCATCTGCCGGCGGTTCGCGTGCTTGACGAGCGCGATGCGCCGGCGGAGGGCGAGCTCGATGAGGATGCACCCGCGCAGGGCGTACGAGATGTTGTCATTCCAAAAGGAGAGGTAGCCCTATCGATAGAAGGGCTTTAGTGTTATGTGAACACGAGCGGAGCGAATGAGATCAAGCCCGCGGGCAGTGCATCCCTTGAGTATCATTCTGCGTGTGCACGGCCACGCCACACTCGAAATCCAAGACAAACGACGCACCTGCTTATCCTTGAGCCCCAGCAGCAACACCTCCTCCATAATCGTCAGCCGCGGCATCTTCCCCCCCGCACGCGCCTCCTCTCTATCGCGGTCGAGGTCCCTTGGGTCATACGCGATCTTGCTCCCGCCCTCGAACGCCGAGCCCGCGTGCGAGTGCGCGACTCCGCCTCCCGCGCTGCCGGTGCCGGTGGTCGGAGAAGAAGGCGTGGTGCCGTTGGGTGTGGGGTTGTTGGAGGTCGAGGACCAGTCGTCGTCTGCGTTTGCACTGGAGGCTGCGGAGGCGCCGGCGACGCGCCGTCTGGAGAGGCCGCCCGCGGAGGTGCTCATGTCTGAGTCGGGTCGTGCGCTGGCGCTTTTGGGTGGGCCGGGGGTGTGTTACTGGGGGTGGTTGTCCAGCGATGAGATGGGAGGGCGGGGAGGGTGCGTGGGTTGTGACGAGGCGGTCGGTCTGGGGAGAGGAAAGTGGAGGCTGTGCCGCTGCCTGCCATCTTTCCTCGACCCACTGTCTCACGCCAGGGCTTCAACACTTTAACTTGCAGCACTCTGCGGGCCGGCTGTCCTTTGACTTCACGAAACTACTTCACAGGGAGAACATTGTAGCGTTTGAAAGTTGTGTGTTTTCTTCTCTTCCACATGTACCTCGGACGTCTAGCTAGCAAACAGAGTCTATCAGCGTTATGAGACTTTCAGCTGACCCGTCTCGCACTTCTCTTCTCCTCGACCCTTTCTCTCGCGTGGCAGCCGCGGGTTGCCGTAGAGTTAACGCTAACCGGCCTAGGACGGGGACTCAAAGTAATTCGCATGCCCATGGACCCATGGATCTTTCCGCAGCATCTCTCTTCCTTTCATCCTCCTTCGACAAACATACAGCTTTTCTCCCATCTTCAGAAAGTGGCTAAAAGTCTATCACTCGCGGGTGTGAGCGGCCTCAAGGTTCGCGAACGCCCGTTGGCTCGATAGTCGTGCTGCGGTCCGGGTCATCCTGCAGGCCATTTGGCATGTTGCAATGAACGGCTGCGTGTCATGTCATGGGACGTGGGACATGCCCATGTTCGTGCTTCATCTCCGTCGTCGAAACAGGTGGTGCGGTAACGTACGCGCTCGCGTGCACCACGTCTCGCCCTCCCCGTCTTCGGAGACGAGCGTGTTATATAGCTCGTTTCCCGGGCCCACATTAGCATCACTGCATCAGGTGAGTGGGAGAGCTATTGGGCGGATTCGAGTGCCATGGGGACATGACCGGACCAGAGACCATTTCTAAACTCTAGCTCTCGGTTTCTCCCACTTCTTTCAGCCTCGAGGTGGCGCGAGCTTATCAGTACCGATCGCCGCGATGACGTATAAACGATTCTCCTTACCGTTCCCCAGGTCGGCGGTTCTTCCAACGCTTGCAGGCGAAATTTCTCCCGGGGAGTGGAGGAGACGATGGTACCGGTGGATTGCCGGCGGCGGGTACTCGCGTAGGATGGTATTGAACGTTCAGAACACCGCCAGGACGTGGAATTGGTGCCTGCTCGGGCACGGGTCATTAAATTGGCTTGTATGTTCCCTCGTGCATGCGTTCTCATTGTCTACATTACGCTACCACGAACGGCACTTGAGCCTCGTTGGGTGGGCTTCGCGAGTCGGGGCCTGTCGCGTCTCGACCGTCCACTTCCGGGTGTAGGAATCAGGGGGTGTTCCCGATCACGTGGTCTGCACGGTGTTTCTCACCAGGGAGCTTCTTTCTGATCCACGCGGAAACGGGGGCGAACATCCACAGATCCAATTTTCTTGCGCGACAACACACATATAACACTCGCTCTTTCATTCCGACTATCTTCTCTCCTTTTAAAACTTGCACAGGCCCCCCCGTGCGTGTGTGCAGGCCATACCGCGAACATCCCCTTCTTCATCCATCAGCCCATTTCACAGCGCTGATTGAGAGCTGAGACGGTCGTCGACGTCGCACGCGTCCCCATACACGCGTTTTTCATCCGGCTTCAACTCATATACAGCCCAGCCAAGACACTCATATTCGACCGACTGGTCGCACCCAGCCACTCGCCTCTCCTTTGCCCCTCGGTCTCAGAATGCAGCTCAGGGATACAGCCTCCCCCACTTCCGCCTCGTCGTCGGCGCCGAGTAAGGTATGTCCTATTCTGGCTTTGCCCAATGATAAGCACTGACCCTATCTCCTCGTCTATCACGTCTCCCGCGATGTTGCGCCATGTAGCTCTTCCTCGACATGAGCAGGCTCAAGAGCCCCGTCACCTCTATGGGCACCTCCGTCGGCACCCATCCCACCCAGTGGTCCCAGTCCTCCTGCGACCACCCGCCCAAATCCGCCGCGCTCACCTTCGCCGCCGTATGGGACGACGAGCGCGGCATCATCACCTTCTCGAGCAGCAAGGGCCTGCTCGAGCAGCGCTACTCCGACTACATCATGGTCGACGGAGACGACAACGACGATGACTCCTTCTTCGGCTGCGGCGAAGGAGAAGGAGAGTATGACGAGTTCCAGGACTGTGGCGACTCGGGGACGTTCGGCGAGAACGACTCGACGATGGCCATGTTCCAAGACGCGTTCAAGGCGTTTCTCCATCGCACACCGCGGGGTCCGCGGTTCAGCACGTGTGATGCGACCGACAGCACCCAGGCCCAGCCTTCGAGCTCGCGATCGCCAAACCAGCCCGTCGCGGGACCGTCTACACCCAGCAAGGAGCACACCACCGCCCACACCATAGGAGTCGCGTCCGGCTCTGCCGGGCCGTATCCTCGAAGAGGCGCAGTGCGCAAGTCGAAGAGCAAGGGCACGCTCGCCTCATCCACGCTGGACGGCCTCAACGTATACGACAAGCAGCACCAGCAACGCGAACGTCCGCCTCGGGCGCCGCGCCTCGTGGACGCGCACTACTCGTGCTTTGACACGCTCGATAAAGACCCGGCTTTCCAGCCGTGCGTCACGTTCAGGCGCCGCAATATGGCGCACGCGGACGAGGAGACGGTGTCAGACGAGGGGTTCTATGAGAGCAGCGAGTGCTTGAGGGCACCGGCGTTGCAGGACAGACAGTATCTGGTGCGTAGTTCTGGATCTCATTCGAAGATGCCGTGCTTACGGGTGCATGCTGTGCTGCGCTATTGTGGACGATCTTCATCTCCTTGAATTTGCTCGTGTTTGTGTTCTTCGGGATTCTATCATTGCGCTTCTCCTTCTATGGTGGCGCTCGTTTCACGTCTTTCTGCTCGTCGTCCTGAAACACACCCTGAAACAACACCACCTTCGCATCACACACCACAGAAATCACACTTCTCAACAACAACAACGTCCACCTCGAACTACATCGAAGTCGCCCGCTTCACAGAATCCGACGAATACTTCTCCTCGCCACTCTCCGCCTGCCCATACGGCGGCACACCCCCAAACTCGCCCCGAAAAGTCCTCCGCAAGCGGCGCCCTTTCACGCGGTCATCCGACCAGCCAGACCAACCCAGACCAAACGGCCCACACGGCCACTCCCCCCTTGCTTCCTCGTGTACGAGCAGCGAGCCCGACTCCCCCGAGCCGACGACGCCCGTCGACCGTGCGTCGCCGCTGTCGGCATTCACCACCACCACCACGACATCGTCTAATAGCGATAAGCGGGCGAGCCCGCTGGCGTATGTGCGCCGTAAATGCAGCACGCTCACGGGCGGAGGGGCAAACGCGGGTGGCCCGAATCACGGTTGGGTGTGTGTCGAGGTGACGCCGATTATCAAGCAGCGCGTTGTCGAGACGCCGTGAGCGCGTCTAGTGGCTCTTATTCTCGGTGCTACTTTCTGTCGTTGGCATCTTGTTCTCGCTTCTTTGCCTTCGTCTTTCTGCGTGGTCTTATGATCCGAACTTTCAGCGCTCGAACTCTGCTGTCTTCCTCCATACGTCCCGCGTATATCGTCCTTTCAGCGTCCACCTTCTACATTCCTCTTCCTCTCTACATTCCTCGTATACCGTCCTCCATCACGTAATGGGTTTCAGGCGCCTAATCGTAGGCCAAACACACACACGCATCGCGACACTTTTTCTTCCTCTGCTCGACACGCTGCGAGCAGCGAGTGTACCTACTCTCCTTATTCCATCCCCGTCTCTGCCCCTTGTCATGCTCACGTCTAGCCCCGCCTCTTCGGCCCTCGTCTTACTGTTGTACAGTAACCGCGCCATACCCCACGGACGCCCGCTGCTCCGGGCTGTCCTGTCTTATTACATTTTACCTCGGTACCGCCGTATGTAATGGCAGCAGTTGCCTTGTTTTCTTTGTTGTTGTTGCTTTTCTTTATGTCCCGAGCGGTCGGTCTCAGTAGGGTTTCTGTGTATCGTTTACGCTTTCTTTGGCTGCTAGATGTGTACGTTTCATATTGTACTTTGTATGGTTCAATCGAGGATAGGGGTTGTTTGATCCTAGGGATGCGTGCTCTGTTTGCATGATGTTCGCACACATCGGTTTTTGCACAAGGATCGGCTCGCTACAATCACCGTGTGTTGGCACGACTTGTCCATGCCAGTCTACATAAATATTCGGTGTGGTGTCTACGTTCTATGAACTATGGTCGCTTTAATCTTTCAGTATGGGACGAGATAAACTGTGTCCCTTCCTGACTGAGCCTCTAGTAGACTTGCCGCAATACGAGGAGTTAAGACAGCCTCCAGGAACACCATGAAAGCAAGGTATACATCCTAAAAATACAACTGAGCCACTCTGTTATGAGTGCACTATTGTCAGACAAACCCGCATGATCCCTTCATTTTTCCACTGAACACAGCATCAACCACATCCAATATTATAACACTGCTTGGGGAGAGTCGTTAGTTCCAAAAATGTACGGTGGTGGTGTGAAGCGTACATCACAAAGAAGACACAGCCGTTGCGTAGTACAACCGTTACTAGCGATTTCCATGTTTGCCCCCTTGTCACGGGCCGCGGTGTTATACCCGAAAAAACTAGCCCATTCAGCAGCAGGGTCAGCAGCAGATATTCAAACCCGAGTATAGGAGCGTTGACTAGCAGCATAGAATCTGAAGGAATCAGTTTAGTACTCGAATGCTCGCTGATCGAGCAAAATTGGAAGCCTGAGCTTACACAATGGATTGGATGCCTCATTTTCAACGAGAAATATGCCAATGAAGACGAGTGTTATCTCGACGAAAAGGAACGTGCTCAAGACCCACTTCATTCTTTTGTTCCTGCTGTGCACAGCGCATACTCTAATAATAAATATACCTGCACCGGAAAATGTTGGGTTCAGAGTCGCTCCAATAGATCCTTTTCGAAGGAGATTTTGCACCTTGGACAACGGCTAGAGACAGAATTGTGGATACATTTTGAAAATCAACTATTGCTCCGAAAGTTTCTTGAACAAGAGTCAGTTATCTATATTTTAGGGACGTAAAAAGTTAGTTACCACTTGTGCTAGAGACGATTCGCAGACGTTGAGTCGAGCTATAAGCGAATAAACGTAGGGGAAAGGTAACCAAACCTGCGAAAACTCTGATGCAAAAAGAGCACTGGCTGAGTTGGACATTAGATAGCTGTGGGAGAAAGCCTGAAGCACCTCCTTTATCAAGTCGTCTCGAGAGAAAACAGGCCCATCAGTTTCTGTCTACAAGGGCTGTCCTTGCTAAAACTACTCACTCAGGTCCTCGGGTGCATCATATCTACAAAGAAAGCAGTGGACATTAGTATTAGGGAGGTTCAACATCAACTTAGAGGATCCGCACTTCTTAATGGCCAACACGACAACAGGAACCCTCCAAAATCAGCGTGAGATTTTCTGGAATGGTAAACTTTAATGAAATCCATACGTCAGGTATATGAGTCCCAGATATTGACACTTTTTGTAGCCAGTTAGTTTTAGAAGTCGTAACCAAGCTGATTTACTGACGATGAAATATGTCCCAGATGAGATAGTCCAAGGTCTTGTCTGGAAGGAATGGAAAGTGTTAAAACGTCTTACTTCTCCGCTCCATGGATGGCGAGTCAAGTTACCCAGACAAGATCGATTTTTGCTGAGAGTGTTCCTACTGAATGTGGATACGATAATTCAACATACAATGCATGCTTTCTGGGAGTGGAGTACAGCACCATAATCGTATAGCGCCGCGGAAAGTAAGGCCACTTGTCGCGGACGCGGGGGTACAGCCCCTGTCTTTTCTCTTTTATCCCTATCTCTCTTACCTTCTCGCGCATTGTCTTGTTTCGTTCACGCTCCGCGTGGGCTGCGCTTTTGGACTCTGACTCATTTGTTTGGCATTGTTATGGACACTGCCCAGGATTTACTATATAAACCTTGTACCTTCATCCCTAGTCCCCATCTCGACCTCTTTGTCATTGGGACTAGGTGCGTATTCATCCCCTGATGTACCTGTAGATACACCAATCTAATCTTTGTCATTGGGACTAGTCTTTGGGATCCTCCGTATTCTGTCGCCGCTCTGAGTCCGCTGCTCTAGCGTCGTTAAGCTCCTCCGCTCCGCCGTCACCATTGTCTCCGCCACATTAGGTCGAGATCTACTACTGCACCGACAACCCTCAGCTCCAGTCGCCCCTGCAGGACCGTCACACAGACCAGTAATTGTCGCATTCCAGCAGCGTACTTGCTGGAGCCCATCATCATCCTGTCCGTCGACCTCAG